AATGTTGTATGCATATCCGCTATCCAGTCTTTATATAGAGATCAGTGGGTGCAACCTATATGTCAATGTATACTCGGACTCCCTATTATCGCGGCATCCCTATTATCGCGGCATGGGAAATTTCTCTTTTTACAGTGTCAAAACTCCTTCAAGTGGCGATTTTTATCCAGTTCACCAGTCATCAAGGATTTTCTACCGAGTTGTATAAAAAGGACGATTAAAAAATGTTGTGTCTTTCGGGACTTTTAACGATTTTAATAAATATTAACGTTTTCCAAAACTTGCAAAATTTTCCCTCACCGTGTCTGCTAAAAGGTACCGCTTATATTTTAACATAAATCTTTAATTGCGCTCTGTCCATGAAAGTTCCATTGCCTGGTTTCCATTCTTCAGCTGCAAATGAAAAATGAAGTCGAACGACGATATTTGCAGCGCGAAATCGTAACAACTTTTACGGGATCAAAATAAGCACCGCGCGTTAGCGAAAATAAAACGGCACACCGTGTAAAGTGAATGGCGCCCTCAATCGCCGATCAGTAGACTTGCCTCAGGGATTTGTGTTCTCCTTTCGGGGGAAGGGCAGGGTCTTAAGAAATCATCCTGCAGAAATATAATCTTTAATCAACTTGAAGGTTACAGGGAAAATATCAGACTTTATTCAGGGGATGTTTTGGTCAAACATTAACTATGAACAAAAAAGTTGGGATCATTATAAAAACCACTTCCCGCATACCGCGATAATAGGGAGTCCACCTCCGTTCGCACACGCCGCGCATGTCTATTTTCACAGGCATCGTACACGGAATAGATCGCACCACCGTCGGATTTTTTTATATTAATTTAAAAAGGAAGAGTTATACTACACAAAAGACAGGACAATTCAGGAAGGTTAGTGGGCAATCTCTATTCCGAACGAGAAACGTGATAAGTACCGCGATAATAGGGCAACCCATCCTACGTGAGTATGTCAAGAGGTAGGCTACTGACTGTATAGTATGGAGTTTAGGGGCAATCTGTGCAGCGGTTCTGTGGGCAATGGCTTGGTTGTGATGGACGTTTTGTACACATAGTTGGTGTTTTGTAGAACGAGAACTTAGAAGCAAACAATTTTGCGGGGTTCTCTGTCGATAAAGCTCCGCCCTGCGGAGCATTCATAATTCTAGGAGTATGCACTACAGTGGTCAGCATTATCAGTGAAATCTCGGTTAAGTCAAACTCTGATAACTCAAAACAACTGTTTAAGTGAAGCAAAGAATCCAATCACTTCAGTAGTAAAACAACGATATACATTACAACCCTGCTTTTACTCAAAACTCTCCTTAGGCCAAAAAAAAGAAGTCTCCGGTTTCTGGTATGGAGCTTGCCCAAAAAAGTGGTGCGGCGCAGCGGCAACGCGGCTTTTTTTTTTTTTTTTACCTGATTTTTTTGCTTCAAATCATTGAACTATTGGCTGTTGACTGCAAATGGTGCCCGACTAAACTTAGTGCAAATATATGGGCAATTCTCCATGGGAGAGCAAAAAATGTCAAAAATAAATATTTACATATTAAACCTTTTTTGTACTTTTTTCAGACCTCAATTAAATGGGGAATTCAGTTCAAAAAACGAAATTAAAAAAAAATACATATTTCTGGTAAAAACAGTGATTTTTGCATTTTATGATTAAAAACGTTCAGATTTGGTAAAAAAATAAAATTTTGTGTATGTATTACTTTCTGAATTATAGGGAAAAGATTTGATTTATTTTATGATGTTACAAGTTACTAACATTACTCAGGGTCATTAAAAAAAATCTAAAAATATAAATATATATATATATATAGTGTAGGCCTTCATTTAAAAATGTCAAAATTAGCACGTAATTCCGTTACCGAAAAAATGGCAAAAGTTACTTATTTCACAAATTTTCTTGTTTTTTTTCTTCAAATCATGTATGTTGAGAAAAGACCCTACTATAAACGTAAATGAAAAATAAAAACTTTAAAATAGTAATTTCTTGGCATTTTTCCAAGTGGTAACGGAATTACGAAACGGTAACGGAATTACGGTAACGGAATTACGCATGCACAAAGTATGCATACTTCCCCCAGATTATGTACATGTACATGACATATTAAATAGGAGATTTGCATGTAAACCTTGGACAATAACTTTAAATACTAAATTACTTGTTAGGGCCTAAATCATTTCCCTCTTTAATTGCTATTATACAATTAAAAATAATCAGGTGTTCCATTGATATTTTTTACTTTTACTTTTTCTTTTTTACTATTTAAAAAATGCTAATTGTTTGGATGCTTAAAGGGAATATACAACATTTGCAAACATCAGAAAATAAAACTACAAAATACCTTACTAGGATGTTGGTAAATGACAGTCTAAAGCATCCTGTAAAATTATGGCACCTGGTGTGAAGTAATTTTCAAAAAAATGATATTTTTGTATACATTTCCAACGGTGGTCGGCCGACCACCGTTGGAAAAACCTAACTATTTTTCAACTACTGCTCCAACTTTACACTCTTTCCAGTCCAAATTTTATTTGCTACACCTATTTGTTACATGTTCATGAACGGGTGCAGGCCAGCTAGTCTGGTTCCCTTACCTTCCACTTTTCCAGCATCTATAAAATTGATCCATTTTACCTTTAGTGGAGTCAAGGAACCAGACTACTTGAACAATTTTGTTTTTCTTGGTTTTCCAGCATTTTCGAACGCAAAACTTCAAACATGTCAGTGTAGCAATATTTGATCTATTACATGTATACTAACCCCTCAAATAGTTCATTTCTGAAAATTACAGCAAAAGCCAATGATGTACATTCCCTTTAAATATGTTGCCAAAGCCGTTGTCTGGTACCCAGAGACAGAGTTGTAACGAGTCACTGATTTTTGTGACTCGAGTCGAGTCGAGTCATTTTAAAGAAGTGACTCGAGTCGAGTCGAGTCATTAGGTCAACAAGGTCGAGTCGAGTCGAGTCGAGTCACAGAGTGTGGTCGAGTCGAGTCGAGTCGAGTCGAGTCAAGTATTTAGCTCGAGTCAATTCGAGTCACAAATATTTGAACACTAAATTACAATAAAAAGCAACAAACACAAGAGAGAAAGAATACAAGGCACCAGTCTATTACGGAAATCCAAAGACATAAAGTATGCTGTATGGTACCCAACCAACAGTTTCCATTGCTAGCTCACGTCACAGATAAGAAGATGTGAAACTTCGGTCTTATAACCGGTTTGGCTTCGGGTCTAGATTTTGTTGTTCGCTGATCGCTGACAAAGTTAAAACCTAATTGCATTATACAAAACTGTTTCTGATTATTTAAAGGTGGGCCCGTCCGTATCCATTTTTTTGTGTGAAATCGGGACATGAATTAAGCCAGCGTTCCACCAAGAACTTCAAAATCGCCCGAAACCAATGATGAAACCACGGATTGAGAAATGCGTTTTAAGTCTGGTTCCGGGTTTAGCATTACATGCTATAGAACCACAAGGTGGGAGTCCGCGACACGGTGTATGTTTGTTGTTTCATTATGGAGGAAGGAAACAGACTGCCGCTGTATATAAACGTACATTATTCGCGAACATTAACGTGACGTGAATAAAAACTGGCAACGCGAACGGCGCAGCGTAAGTCATTGCAAATATTTTTCGCAAGTAAGTTTTGCTTTTATTTTGGGACTCGAGTCTTATTAGCCTTCCTCGAGTCGAGTCGAGTCATTCTGATGAGGGACTCGAGTCGAGTCGAGTCATTTGCTCGCAGTGACTCGAGTCGAGTCGAGTCATTTACCCGTCGGGACTCGAGTCGAGTCGAGTCGCCAAAAAATGTGACTCGAGTCAGACTCGAGTCGAGTCATTGACTCGAGTCATTACAACTCTGCCCAGAGAAAATATATTCCACAACAAGTATATGAAAGTTGAGTACCAGACTGTACTTGTACTTCTACTTGGCATAACTTAACATCTTCCCTTGCTCAGAGATGCCAACCAGTACAGTTTTATTGTATTTTCCACGATAAACTAGTGAAATACGATAAAGTTTGTTCATAGTAAAATTTGATTTTCGTTAAAAAATAAATATACATTGCTAACAGGCAATGCAGCCATCACCAGACTGCTTTCATTTGACCTTGACCTTTGACCTAAAAAATGAAGCCCAGACATGTTTAGGCCTACATTCACATTTTGATCTGCTTATTTTTGCTGAGCTTTCCCCTTGTGGCATTTTACATACTTCTAAAATTTGTATTGTGATGAGTTTATGTTGAATTCAATGTTAATGTATTGCATTTACCTATTACATGTAAACCTATGGCGTAATTCCGTTACCACCCAGGCGTAATTCCGTTACCGTGATTAAAATGCAAATTATGAAAAGAGTGATTATTTTTTCAACTTTCCTCTGCTTTGTAGTTAACAACACCCCTGAACTCTACAAATAACAGGTAGTGTCCAATTTTAAAATTTCAAAACTTCAGAGAGTTTTATTAATTTATGCGAGAACTCAAATATGCTTGTCCTCCGTCCGTAATTCCGTTACCGATATTAAGCTCCGCCCCTAAAAGGGTAATCTTGTGGGATTTTTTTTTTTTAGCGGTCAATCAATTCTACTGGGTCTTGGCTCCCTTTCCATGTTTAGATTAGTTGCCTAGCATTGAACATATTTTCTTGGGAAAGAATAATCCTTGACAAAGTGCCAAAATTCTGTAATTCCGTTACCAAAGAATTGCCCAAATGGGAGTCCAGAGAGGCCACATGAAGCTTATTCTCCACCATAACCCAATCTCAAAACACGTTAAAATTGTGCAGCAGCAGGATTCCAGTCAAACCAGTGAGTTTGGCGGTTTTGAGACATCATCTTTCATTGAAAAAAAAACTTTTTCATTTTGCCGACGCGCATGGCTACGGCGACGCGCACGCATACCAGAAACCGGAGACTTTTTTTTTTGGCCTTAGGCTTAAGACGTTAAGTCAAGGCTTAACTTCAAATTCAAATTTTGAACCTGTTCCCTTGAGGTGAATTGACTTGGACTTATCGAGATTTTACTGTATTTCCTAGCATTAAAAATGACTCAATTGGAAATAATTCTTAGTCCCAGATTTATGTCTTATTATCATTTTCGCAATGACTGACCGTTATTGAGATGATATGTGAAGAAAAAAGCAGAGTCAGGTTGAAACTTTGTTTCCAGGAAATGCACACTGATGCAGGAGGGAAAAAAAAAAAGCAAAAAAAAAGAAGACGACGAGGTACGTGCGAAGTCGCCATATTAATCGCTGTTAATTTTGCACATTTGGTGGGCAAGTGTTTTTGCATTTCATCCCCACAGCCTTTGCTTTCTCTTTTTGTTATGATTTCCACATTTGTTTGTATTATCCTTAAACTTTTAAAGAGTCTAACTCGCTTCCTTTTTTGTTGTTGCCATTTAGTTGTGAAAATCCTGCACTTGTCAAACAATGATGAAGGCTATACATATGCAACTGCTTAAGGTCGCTAGTTGCTGCCTCGTGATTGGCTGCCTGGCCATCGCAGTATTGGTCCACGGGTCGGAGAAGGCAAAAGCCGACCGACCCGTCGTGAGCGTCGTGATTGTCGGCGGAACCGGTGACCTGTCCACGAGGTACCTGTGGCAGGGGTTCTACAGTCTCTACCAAGGTGAGATTAGTCGTGTTGCGCCCCAACTGTGGCATGTCCCAACTACATGTACAGTTAGGATCGTCTCAACTGCAGTTAGGCCAAAAAAAATAATAAGTCGGTCTCTGGTCAGCGCGCCCGTCGATTTTAATCATGCGCGTCGATCTTTTTTTTTTTATCAAAATGTTCCGCGGTAGCTCCAACAGCGCCCTCTATTTCTGCACCTCCTCAATTTTTTTTTACCAAAGAGCACCAAGGAATGGGAAATTGCACCAAGGCAAATGATCGAGAGCACCAAGGCAAATTATGGAGGACACCAATGTGCACATGAGGACACCAAAAAAGCAAAATAGTACCCACCTTGTCTGTACAATCCAAGCTTGAAGAAAAAAAAAAAAAAGCAAAAAAAACCCCCCAAAAGCCGCGTGACCGCGTCAATTCCGGAACTTTGGTCTGACCAGAGACCGAATATTATTTTTTTTTTGGCCTTAGGGATACTATTGTTGAAAAAAAAAGGATAATTTTAAACAGTGACATCATTATGGCCTCTAAGACTATGTCTGTTGCATCTAGCCCATATAAAGCTGGTATGTCATTTCCTGCGTCTAAGTGGCAACCATTTAAAACAAAAGCTGGCGGCCATTTTGGAGGCGAAAAAAAAACAAAGGGCCTCCTCCCTTTTTTTCAAAAAGGCACGACGCTAAACATGTTTTTTTGTACTTGGCCTAATAGGAGCAACTCGTTGCCTTCAATATTGCTTTCATCCTAATGATGTACTCTCCTTCAGTTTTCAAGATTTATCAATAGACCCCTCTCATACGACGCCATCTTCATAGGAAAATTACAACTGCCTTTTAACCCTTACTCTCTGAGGGTAGTTTACTGCATGTCAGTTGGTTATGCCAATGCCCTCCAGCTGCAGTTTATTGGCAGATAGTTTGTCTTAACAGTGAAGGCTCCAATTGGCAGGAGTTGGAGGCCCTGGAGGGTGCCTGATACTGACCAGCTGGGGGCACTCACTTTGTTATCAGAGGACTCTCATTGTTCTCTGTGGCATGTATTGGAGTGCCTGTCCAGTTACCCTTGAAATGACATGGCAGATATTGGAGGGCCGTGCAAAAAACATATGCCATTTTCTTAAGGCACATAATGGCATGCGTTGGAGGGTCCAGTTGGGTAAGGGTTAAACGCCATCAGATACGTGTGCGCGCAGGGTGCAAAATGTTCTAGATTCGCGCATGTTGCTCGAACTTTCTCCAAAATATGGCGCGGCACAGCCGATGTGTGTCAAAAGGCTGACAAAAAAGCTCTTCTGTTAGTTTTTGAGGGTTCTGGCAAGACCCAGAGGAAATTCAACAGAGGAAACGGACAGTATATGCTCTGCCCGTCGCAGTAGTCTATTCCACGTTTCGGCCTCTTTTTTTTTTTGCACGCCCACATTAGATCGCCAAACTTCTTCAAACATTTTCATATTCGTATATGTACACAGGGCAAAAAGACAAATTCTCATTCGACTTTTACGGAGCAGCCAGAATGCCAGCGTCGGAAGGGGACGGCCAGCTAGCAAGCATCCTGAAACACAATGTATCCTGCTCCAAATCCGTCCAGCCGGGACTGGGATGCCAGACATTGCTGGATGCATACAGAGCTATGGTATCATACAGGTATAGATGTACATTTACTCATGTACGCCACCCCCCCCCCCCCCCCCCACTCCTTCCTCCCCTGCCTGCACCCTTCCCCCTCGTACTGAGTTGTTTTGAAACTTTTCCTTTATAACAGTTGAAGGGATCTTTTACACGGGGTCCGCCTCATAGGTCCGACGCCTCATAAGTCCCACAAAATCGCATCCCCTAACCAAATAAAGGCCCATAAGTCCGACGCCTCATAGGTCCGACGCCTCATAAATCCGATGCCTCATAGGTCCGACGCCTCATAGCTCCGACGCCTCGTAAGTCCGACAAATTAAATGCCTCGTTTTTCCGTTGTCGGACTTTTGAGGCGTCGGACTTATGAGGCGTCGGACCTATGAGGCGGAATAAATAAATGTTATGCCTCACAAGTCCGACGCCTCATAAGTCCGAAATTTCTGACTTATGAGGAGTCGGACCTATGAGGCGTCGGACTTATGATACGGCCCCCTTTTACACAAGTCCACAGTAAAACAGTCCATAGCAGTGATACATTGATGAAAATGAAATGTACAAAATGGAAATTGCCACTAATGATAATTAATAATAATGGAGTCTTACATAGCGCACGCATCTACCAACAATTATGTACTCAAGGCGCTGGAAATTATGTCTATTATTAAAGACAGGTGATTAGGTGAATGAAGTCTATGAGAAATACGAGACCTGTTATGTAGCACCTATTCCAAGGGTGCTGTGGCGCATATTGTAGCCACTGCCAGAAACACCGGAGAAAACCCCTTCTCTTAGCAATACGTGCTACTGGGTTTTAACGCGCATTACGCAAAACACGGGACCTACAGCTTTACGTCCCATCCGAAGGACGAAGCAATAATGGTAAAGTGCCTTGCTCATCAAGAGCACAAGCACCGTGTTCCCACGGTCAGGATTCGAACCCATGTACCACGGCACACGAGTCGAACCATTGGACCACAGCACCCAACAAGTTTGAATAAAAAAAAATTAATAAGAAGACACACTCATGAAGTTACTTTCATGTATTATAATAATAATAATAATTTGAGGGGCTAATCATCCTTACTCGCACCAGAGCAGCTGAATTGCGGAGGACGCGGCTATACAACGTGGTCGAGCCGCAGGCATGTAAAGGCGCCTTAGGCTGCCGCCATACGACCCATGTCTGACCACGGAGCACAGCCAGAGATCGAAAGTGTTGATTTTTGTGGAGGGAGGAAAAACCGGAGAGTCCGGAGAAAAACCCCTCGTCGCACAGGAGAGATCAAGAACAACTCTACTCACATTTTGGTCCGAGCCGGGAATCGAACCCGGGCCACAGTGTTGAGAGGCGAGCTTTTCAGCACTATCAACCCATGACCCCCACAATTTCTGTTGTACGTATATGCTGTGTTGCTGAACTGATGCGTTATGTAACAGTCTTATACTTACTTACTTACTTAGATTGATAGGAATAGAATAGGCTAAGCCTTTGTGACCCCATATCCAATCTCTTTCCAGTAGGTATCAAGATGGTTCTTAAACAGGTTTGTTGAGGTTGCATTCACCACATGTGATGGGAGGTTGTTCCATTCAGAAATAACTCGGATGGAAAAGAAGTTTTTTTCTGCAGTTCAACCCTTTCTTTAATCCTGGTGTGTAGAGCTTTAGGTTGTGACCTCTGACTTGATTGTGACCTCTGACTTGTCATAAATCCTTTTTGTATTACATTTGCACAGGAAGTTGAAAACAGCCGATGATTATGCCGACCTATGCAAGGAGATGGAACAGGAAGAAGCAAAGGAGCATGGGAGATTGTTCTACCTGTCCGTACCGCCGTTTGCGTATGCGGGCATCGCCAAAAATATCGCCAAAGGTTAGTAATTTACTCAAGAAAATCAGAGTTTTTGGGTGCCACAGTTGTATCCTGCTGCAGTTGGCGACCATAGACTCTGAGGTAGTTTTGGCCTTGAGCTTTCTGACCAGTTGGATCTTGTTACAATGGGCAGGCTTGATCAGATTACTGGGGTCAGAGGTCATGTAGGGATCATTAGAGGTCAGTAAGCTTTGAGGCTTTGCATGGTGGAGATACTAAATAATGAAAGGTTTGCGGAAACATCATGTGCAAATAATTTCTCAACTAAGAGAATGGTTCTGAAAAGAACCAGAGGTATAAACTCGACGTTCCGGTCATACCTTTGGTTCTTTGCAGAACCATTTTCTTGGTTGAGAAATTATTCGCACATGGTGTTTCCGCAAACCTTTCATTATTCATTAGAGGTCATCGTTTAAAGTGCACAAAATTTGATTTTATGGAAGAACACAAAACATCAACTTGTTGTTTGTTCTCTGTTTGATCTCAGGTTGTCGTCCAGAAAGCAGGGCCTGGCTTCGCGTCGTGCTTGAGAAACCTTTCGGTCACGACCACGGCTCAGCTGAGGAACTCGCTACTCAGCTGTCAGCACATCTGAGGGAGGAAGAGATATATCGCATTGACCACTACCTCGGAAAAATTGGTAAAACTTAAAAATATTTTTTAAAAGTTTCGGGGCTGGAGAATAAAGGGTGGGTTTCACATCGGGGAATTCCATTTTTGAACATTGTTTTGGTTCTATTACATTTTTTTTTTTTTTCGTGGTTTTTTTTTTTCAGAAGATGTTCTTTGAACACTTGAATATAACATAAACAAACAGACATTGTGTGCAAAGTTGTCCTTTCAGTCAAAATCAATCCAGTAACTGTTTTCAACCGTCCCAGCCTACATGAACCAGGATTGACTGGCTGTGACTGTTTATGTAACTTGATACAGCTATGCTCTGACTGTAGGTGATTGATGAGCCAGCTGTGCCTACCACTTGCCTGCTTTTTGTCTGTTGACTGAAATTGACTGGCCACAGTGCTTGCTTGATATATGATCTGACTGTGACTAGCCTGTGTAAAAGGCACGGCAGGGGAAGAGGATTGAGTTTTTGGCTGTCTGTGACTGTTCAAATGGTAGGAGGGTTAAAGTCTTCATCAAAATTCATTCATCGAGTCGTCTTTGGCTTGCAGTTTTTGTTCGAACCAAACAAAAATGCAATTTACTTGTCCACACAGCTAGTCGTTGGCTGTAATAGCAAAATTACAACTTCGGATTGTGTGGTTATTCTAACAAAACGAATCAGCTCTATTAAAACAGTATTTCATTTTGGTCTACACAGTGATAAAGAATACCTGATAAGTTTGTAATTATATCTTCACTCCAACTGACCTCTACTTGAATTCGTTTTATCTCTGTTTGCATCCAGATAATTGTTGATACAGTCTCTAATTTTAAATTGAACTTTGACATTTTACATGCTATATCAAGTGCTTCTGTTCAAGCTCTTGGAATCTGGGGTGCAGTGCACTATTGACCAGAGTTCAAGAGTAGGGATACTGTGGGGGGGGGGGGGGAAGGAGGGGGGAGGGAGGGGGGCAGTTACATATGGATTACCTCAAAATAAAAAGGGTTACTCTTAGGGGTGTGCATTTCCGGGTAGTACAGGAACCGGGTAGCCTACTAAAAAAAAACACGGGTACCCGGGTACCTGTTAAAAAGAAACCCAAACCAGAAATTCAAATCTGGGAAGTTGCTGTTCAGATTGTTCATAAAGGTCTGCACGATAATACTGACACATCGGTGCGGCAATAGGCCTAGATAGAGTGTATACAGTGAGCTTTTTAGCTATGTGGTGAAAACTGCAACTATCGCAAGCATCATAAAAGTAACGTGAAATTGGTGTTGGTTTTCTATGTACCCTGTTTTTCATTTTGAAAATTGTCGCACTGACATTCGAAACCTTTCTTTTTCATCGACTGAGAAGTTACTAAGTAGTATGTAGAGTTGGTTACGGGTACCCGATCCCATAATCTGGGACCGGTTCCTGACATTAACGGCCGAGTACTCGGGTACCCGGTTCCGATGCACAGCCCTAGTTACTCTGGCATTTTTGAAAGTCAAGCATTTTTTTCTCCTTGATAATGAATTTGCAGTTCCGGAGTTCACCTGAACTGCATCTAGGCTAGGCAGATAGACCTACAGTGTGTGGTGTGGTTGGGTTGTTTCAACCCTTTGTTAAAACCATATTACATGTACTCCCTGGGCCTTTTTGCTAGGATGTAACCTGAATCCTGTAAAATCCTCCCACTGCCTCCATGTAAAAATAGGAGGGGTGACCACTGCCTCAATCCTGCAAAATCCTCCAACAATCACAGTCAATATGTTGAGGCAGAGCCAGTGACATTCTGGAGCAGTGCGGAGGATTTCAAGTATGATCTAGACCTAAGTTTATGCACAGCTGAGCACAAACAACACTAGGTCCGGCCCAAGACCTTGACACAGTGCATCATCCAAAATCAGCAACAGGCTTTTGCCATGTAACCTCAATCCTGCAAAATCCTCCATATTGCCAAGAGGATTTTGGTGGATTTGGGCGGGTTAATTCAATTTTCGCACACTGTTTGTACACCTCTCCCCCCTGCCAGCCCCCCCCCCCCTCCCGCCCCAAAAAACACTTTATCCCCCCAAATTATCTTCAGGGTCTACCCAAAATGAACAAATTAAAAAACCAAATGCTAATAAACCACAAAAGGAAACCTAGGTGCATTGTATAATAATTTTAAAGTTGGACAGAGAAATTAACTGGAGCAGGGTTTGAACTAGTCTGAGTGTCACCGTTTATCCATGGAACCCAGTCTCCTGTCTAACGTCTGATCTGCAGATTTATGCGATCCAGCGCCTCAGCCAATTGGAGTCGACTTAATCGTGACGTTATTTCATTCCCAAATCAGGACTAAGTGTCTGATTGGTCAGTTTGAATGCGGTGTTTTATAATGCAACAATTACGGCCGGGCATATTGATCGATAGAACCAAGACAAGCTTGCGCGTATCGCGTAACATCGGAGCGCATGACCACAGCCTTTTGTTGCTGTGTCTACTTTTTTTTGTTTATCCATGTCCATTATGTGAGAACGGGTGAATGACCTAAAGACCCGATACAGAAAGCGCCGGCTGATTGGTCAAAATCTAGAGGTCAAGAGACGTGAAATGATTTTTGTTTTGTGGTTTCATTTGCATTGGCAGGGGTTCAGAGCATCCTCCCATTCCGAATGCTAAACGATGGAAACTATAAAGACCTTTGGAACCGAGAGCATATTGAGAGAGTGGAGATTGTCATGAAGGAAAAAATCGACTCTAAAGGTAATAACAAAATTCTTCATTGTGACTCACGGAACAGGATGCATACGTTGTGTGTTCCTCTCACTGGAGCTCTCAAAAGTGGTTACAGAGCGCTCTCACATGTTCACGCACGGTGTTCATTGATTTTCTTCCTGAACTAGAATTGACTCTTCAGAAAAGACTCGCACCTATTTTTATTAATCCCAAATATCCTTAGGACATATTTTTGTTCATTATTTTGTAGGTCGTCTGGAATTCTACAATGAATACGGAGTCATCCGCGACGTCATGCAGAACCACCTGACCGAAATATTCACCCTGGTTGCCATGGAGATGCCGGCCAACATCAGCAGCCGCAGGGAGTTCCTCAACAACAAGATCCGCCTTCTGCAGCAGACCCAGCCCGTCAAGCCCCACCAGGCCGTGATTGGTCAGTACGACGGCTACGTCGACCAATGGCGCGAGGAGCTCGGCAAGGGTCCGTCTGACGAGACGCTGGTGCCGACTTTCACGGCCGCGGCACTGTACGTCGAGAATCCGCGATGGAAGGGCGTGCCCTTTGTTTTAGTCGCGGGGAAGAAACTTGATGAGCGACTCGGTTACGTAAGGGTCGTCTTTAAAGATAACGCAGTTTGCGTGACCAAAGCTGGCCGTAATGGCTCAGTCAATCGTTGCTCCAAACATCAGCAGATGATTTTCTATACCGGCAACCCAGGGCTGAAATATCCCGCGATCCTCGTTTCAGACCATCTCCCAAAACCAATGCTCCCAACATCCTGGTCGGTGCCCAACAATGATCCCAATACGGACATTTTCGGTTCCAATTTGTCAGATTTTTATTACTTCTCACCGCCCAAGGATCAGGACGCGTACACGTCCCTGATCGCGTCCTGTTTCCACGGCGACCAGAAGATGTTTGTCGGCACGGACGACCTGATGGCGTCTTGGAGGATTTGGACGCCGCTGCTGCAGAGCTTGGAGAACAAGCGTCCGAGGATTTACACTGGCGGAGAAGACACGGGGACTTGGCTGGACTTCAGAGTCAAAGATCGAACTGTCAAGTATATTCACGAGCAGGAAGACCCGTGGGAATCGGCGGATGCTGCTCCAGTGTTCCAGTCCATTACCGACCGCTTCCGTTCCCGACCCCTTGTTACGGGTAAAGAGGAGAGTGTTGTTGCCCAACTCGCGCAGCATTTGTTGAGCATTGCCGCCGAGTCCATTCAGAAGCGGGGGAGTTTCCACATTGCATTCCCTGGAGGGTCGACCCCGAGATCTCTCTTTGCCCACCTGGCCAAATTGTCCAATTTGTTTCCATGGGAAGACACTTTCGTTTGGATGGTGGACGAGCGGTGCGTTCCGCTCACTGATGACCACTCCAACTTCAAACAGCTTCACGACAGCCTTCTCCAGTTCGTCAACGTCCCGTACCTGAACATCAACCCGATGCCTGTCAAGTTGGCAAACGGTTTCTGCGACGCGTCAGACAAAGGCGCTGAGACCTACGAAGACGACCTGCGACAAATTCCGGACGGTCGGTTGGATTACGTCCTTCTGGGCATGGGGGCTGACGGCCATGTTGCTTCCTTATTCCCCAACCACCCCACCGTGGGAGAAAAGTCCGCCAAAGTTACGCTTTCCGACGGAGGGCCCAAGAACAACGTACCCGACAGAATGACTCTCACGTTACCCACCATCAACAACGCTAGACATGCTGGGGTGCTCATCCTAGGGAAGGGGAAGCGAGACATGGTGTCGACACTGAAGACAGAAGGGGTGGGGGACCCCCTCAGGTACCCTGTGACGGGGGTGGATCTGAAAAAAGGGGAACAGGTTTGGTACATAGACCACGAGGCCTTGGTTTAGAGTCTTAGAGGGAGGGGGCAGGGCATGAGGGTTGGGGGGGGGGGTTGGTGCTAGACTAGTGGCATGTACAGTGCACAAGCCTATTCATGTCGGATTTGTTTCCGATAGTCCAAGAAAGCAGGATCAATTGAAGTACATGCACAGTACTTGCGTTGCCCTGCCACTTCTAGTACCAGCCTTTTTGGGGCAAATTTTCTTGAACTACTCCGCGCAAAAATTTTCAGTATCAGGGGCTTTTATATTTTGTAAATTTTTGTGAAAAAAATGCAATGTGTACAAATGATAGTGATAAATTATGTGAAAATAATAATTTAAAGTATATAATTTAATTGTGAGTAGACCCTTTTCAAAAGGGTAAAATTGCTAATAAGGGTGCAACCCTGCAAAAAAATCCCATAGACACTAGTGCTAAATGCGCATACTTCAAAATTCTTTTAAAAATACTCAGAACTCTCACAGGTATTCAAGCTGCACAGAAAAATGATGATCAACATGTCATCTTTCATTTTCTTTTCATTTTTTGGTGGGTTGACCACTGACTTTTCGAGATATTGTCACCCAAAGACGACGACCCCCTATTTTCCCCAAAGCAGAAAAGTAGCCATCTTGAAAAACGATCCCTCCACAACATGGCAAAATAGCACCACTTTCGAGCCCAATTGCATCCAAATTGCTCAGAATTGGTTTATTACCATATCTCTTCGATTCCCCAATTTTATGGCTCTCAAAACTCCTTAATATAGAATATTTTGAGGGTAGAACTTTTATTCATGAGCTCGGCGGACAGATTTTTGGCGTATTTACAGGCGTGCACCCATATGGGCAATTCTCAATACAGTGCGCCACCAAGCGGTTGCCAGGGAGAGTCCATTTTTCGCAGTGCATTGTGGGAGACGTTCGACACATTCGCCATGGCCGCAGAATGCTATGCCCCAATCTATCAAAAAACTCAAGTTGTTGGCCGACGTTCGTTCAAAATCGCGGCAAGTCAGCCACGTCTTTGTCGACCGTAAAGTTGAAAAAAATTGACTGCCTGTGGCAATCTCTCGGGTACATAAAACTCAATGGTCACTCGGGACGGGTAAGTTGAATCGGACAGAAGTTGGCTGTTGTGGGATTTGAACCGTCAACCTCATGAACATGATAGCTGCTCTTTACTTTCCTAATTGGCACAGAATGAAAAAAATATACTGCCAGTTTTAAGACAACACAAGTTGAACTTGTTTTATTTTGCATAATCTTTTTTTTTTACACAAATGAAACAAGGCTTTGGAAAAAAAAAAAAAAAAACTTTCACCAACAAATTTAAAACAATGAAATTAAACCCAAAAGTATACTTTCTGGAGCAGCAAATTACTTTTATATTGAACACTACAGGCCAGGGATGTTTTGTTCAAGTTATATGCGTCATTTCCATAAAGCTATATTAAATTACAAGAGCACTAACTCCTCATTCTAGTGCGTGGAGACGCTTTGAAGCCGCTCTGGGCGCAGACATTTTGAAGTTATTTGCGTGTTTGTAGAACACAATCAAAATAGATGGATTGAATTTTAAAAGTGTACTCTAAATGCAACGCGCAAGTAGAAGATACGCAGACAATTTAAGCGCGTCATGATGGTTCAAAAACGTCACGGCGAATAGCATCTGCAGCGGAGGGACGCGCACACGTTGTGCTGTTTGCGTAGGGCAAAATGAAACGCTCATTTGCTGATTGTGCGTTTCGGTTTTGGGCGTATCGGCTTCGACGACGCACCGGTATGGAATACATACGCAGATATGCAAATAGCCGTACAAAAGCTGTACAAAATTTCGAGTTTTCCATAGGTTTGTGCACAAAAATGGATGCCCCTAGCAGGCATCACTTTGTACATCGAGTTAGCGCTCTAGTAATTTAATATAGCTCTACGGTCATTTCACACTGATTAAGATTTGGAGGTTTTTTTCACAGATTAGATAACATTAGGAATGGTTTTCTATTAAAGAAGAACAATAATCATTCAGTCTTTTTTTTTTTCAATTACATTGAAGAACACTGTACTAATGAGAGATTTACGTAACGCCTTATAAGTCCAGCAACAGTACCCATAAATATAAATATACAACTCAATGAAGTGTTCAATTTTCACAACAACAAAAAATATAATAAATCACCAAATAATTTAATTTAATTGTAAAATGTCTCAATTTATTTGTAATTGGAAGGTCAACAGCCCCGACCAAAACTCAGAATTATTGGGTTTTCAATAAAGCATTTCTGGCCGAAGTCGGAACAGTAAACGCGATCAAAACCAGAACACCAATACATTGTATTTAGAAACACATAATGTATACCCAGATACCAACTGCCAACCCTTACTTCAATAGATGTTTTTTTTTCAGGAAAGTACCAAAATCTGATTAAATCTATAAAAAAATTGCGTAAACACTGTAAAAAAGCCAATGGCAATATTTGTTTTCTTTTTACTTTCAACATGGCTGGGAGTCAAGCCCCATGGCGAGGTAACAGCCGCCCTACTGTATCTTTTAAAAAAATGTTTGCAGCTTTAGAGTGATCTGGAAAATGCCAACAAAATTAAAAATTTACACAAGTGTGTTTGTGCAGCGCCCTCGCTGGGTCACGCATGAAGAGGATACACTAGCCTTCAAGGTGTTGGAAGGTTTCTAAAAATGATTGTCAAGCCCGAGTTAAGCCACAGCTGGAGACAATGCCGAGGTTTCGTAAACCTGTAAAGTATGAGTGTATGTGCAGCGCCCTCGCCAGGTCACGTACGAAGAGGATACACTTGTCTATCTTCAAGGTTTTAAAAGTCTCTTAATGATTCTGAAGTTGAAGCCACAGCTGAAGTCAAACCCGAGGTTTCAAAACCTGTCGAGGGTATATGCAGCGCCCTCTCCTGGTCATGCACAAAGAGGATGACTAGTCTCCAATGCATTAATGGTCTCTATATGATTCAGAAGCCAGTGCTGAAGCCACAGCTGACACAAACCCACAGTTTCAAAACCTCTATAAGTGTCAGTGTAACGAACAGTGCCCTCGCCGGGTCATGCACGAAGCAGATACCCTAGTCGTCAAAGTACATGCGTCCGACGCCATTTTTCTTCATGTATCTCCGGTAGCTCTTGTGCCGACTACTCTCGGCCAGTTTGGCCTTCATCTCTTCTTCCTTCTCCATTTTGTACTCCTGTAGATATTTTTGGTGAAAAAAAAAAATGAAATTTTGCCGCGACGCCTCATCAGTTCAACCACAGATCTTCTACACGTACACAAAGTTAAACGACTTCCCCAAATTTCTGGTTAGATGCGTTTTATACGGCACTTGCACGTCGTGCGTGCTGGTTCGCAAGACTCGGCACGCGACTGCAGTCTTTCAGTGGTCAAATTTCTGTCAGGATGCCAGCTGTCAGCGATCATGGCGCGCGCGCATTGTTTCACAAATTCTATGCGTTGTTCTATGCGCGAACGTGGCATATCACGCATGTAGACAATGTGTTCCGTACATTTTGTACACAAGCTCAGATGATTCGTTTATCCTTGTGTAGAGGATCCGTGGTTAATCTTTATAAAATAAGCTGTACTTTCTTAACTTACAGTAACTCGCCTTCAATGAAATAAAAATATGAGTCCTTTTTTCTTTTCTATAAGTTAACCCTTACCCTACTTGACCCTCCAATGCATGCCAATTGTGCCTCAAGAAAATCTCCTATGTTTTTTGCATGGCCCTCCAATATCTGCCATGTCATTTCAAGGGTAACTGGACAGGCACTCCAATACATGCCACAGAGAACAATGAGAGTCCTCTGATAACAAAGTGAGTGCCCCCAGCTGGTCAGTATCAGGCACCCTCCAGGGCCTCCAACTCCTGCCAATTGGAGCCTTCACTGTTAAGACTTGTTATCTGCCAAATAACTGCAGCTGGAGGGCATTGGCATAACCAACTGACATGCAGTAAACTACCCTCAGAGAGTAAGGGTTAAAGGGAAAATACAACATTTGCAAACATCAAAAAATAAAACTACCAAATCCTTTTGAAATACCTTGCTGGACTGTTAGTGAATGACAGTGTAAAGCATCCTGTAAAATCATGGCACCTGGTATACTGTCATTTTCAAGAAAAGTGGTATTTTTGTATCAATTTCCAACGCTGATCGGCCGATCAGCGTTGGAAAAAACTGGCTTTTTTTTCAAATACTGGCCCCAATTGACCATCGCACTTGTTTGCAATCGATTACAAACCTATGAACGGGTACGACTGGTTCCCTGACCTTACAATTCCCCAATGTATGTAAACTGCTCTGTTTCTTCTTATATGGAGTCAGGGAACCAGACTACAGGAAAATGATTGTTTTTCTTGGTTTTTATAGCATTTTCGAACCCAAAACCTCAAAAAAGTCAGTGTAACTATATTTGCTATATATTTCCAACCCCCCAATTCCATCCATTTCTGAAAATTACAGCAAAAGCAAATGATGTATATTCCCTTTAAGTTAATGCCCACTAGACAAACTTTCCCTCCACTACACAACATTTATACACAATCCAATATTTGCTTTTTCTTGCAGACAAATCCGGGCACAAAATCACTGTAAACTCACAAGGCCCCCTTCAATGGAGAAACCGTTCTGTATGTTACTGTGCAAAGCAGCTGCCCCTCGACAGATTATCTGAACAATAGCTAGCACAATGCTTGCGCCATTGAAGGGGGCCTCCGCGATAGAATTGACAGCATGCCGAGATTGTTCTGTGGAAATGGGAAACATTTTGCGGACAATTTGGATTCAACTTCTCACCTTGAAATTTTCACTTATCCAGAGTTCCCTGGCCAGCATATCTTTCTTTTCAAATTCGTCCATACCCTTACAAAAGAAATGCAAAATCGTTAACAGAATTACTTTCAGAGAGTTCTCGCCAACAACAAAATAGAGGAAGTTCGGTTCCCAAGATCTCCTGAAGCAATACGGAGCTGGAACCAAAAAAGAATCATCATTCAATAAACATTTCCTAGAGACATTTACTTCACAAACTTTTTGTGAAACTTCTTCAAACGAACAAAATGCACAAATTACAAATGATGGACTGTACCTTGAAAAGTGCATTTTTTTTGTGAAGGCCAATATCTACAGAACTGTATTGGTCTTGATCACTCTACCGCACGTCATATCAGTCTTACGTGACATAAAAATACAATAAATTACCGAACTAGCCATACGTTAGCACACAAACAATTTTTGTTAGCACTATGTTCGATTCAGCCATTACCTCAAACTGCGTTTGGCTCAGCCCCAGAAATTTCCGGATAATGTGGTGTTTCTCCTCCAGTCCGTACTCCTTGCCAAGGATGTTGAATTTCCAGACCCATCGCAGGTACCAGATGATATACTGGACAATGTAGTATGGCGACAGCAGGAGTTGAAACCACAAAATGTCCAGTATCCTGGGCTTCCTGTAGCCCCCTCTGGTAAAAGAAGAGCCAACAATAAATAGATGACTATGTGTATTATAATGATTTGTTTTAGAGTTGAACACGGAAATTGACTGTCGTGTAGGGCTGTGTGTCAGAATCTGGTAACCAAGTTCCCGACCGTTAATGTCAAGAAGTGGTTCCAGATTATGGGATCCGGTACCCACGACCAACTTTACAAATTACTAAGTAACTTCTCAGACAATTCAAACAGAAAGGTTTGGAATGTCATTTGTGGAGGATTTAGAAATGAAAACCAGGCTACGTGGGAAACAAGGCATATTTTCACATTTATGACACTTGTGAAAGTTGCACTTTACACGGTAAAGCTATAAAGCTCACTGTTCACACTTGTATGTTGCTGTATCGGCGCACCGATGTGGCAGTATTATCGTGCGGATCTCTATGAACAATCTAAACAGCAACTTCCGAGATTTGAATTTCGAGTTGATTTCTTTCTTTTTTTTCAATCCGGTACTCAGTTCCCGTACTACCTGTACATGCACACCCCTACTGGAGCCGGGTTTGAACATGGGACCTCCAGATTGCCGTTCCGGTGCTCTACCAACTGAGCTATCCAGTTGTATGTTGACAGTTCCTTACCCAAGGGCACTAGTCAAAAGCCATAAATTATATGCCATGTAGCCAGGGATCACGCCCAAAGTCACGACGCTAGCAACATTAGCCATGCTGCAAACCTGGGAAATGGCACACGGGGATCACTCACAGAGGATGCGGCACCGGTACGGCAATCCGGAGGTCACAGGTTCAACTCCCACTCCAGTCAATGTCTTTGCTCATCAGATGTACACAAATAATATAACTGTAAATTCTCTTACTTGATGTCTGCATTTTCCTCAATGATGCTCCGCACTATTTTGTCTTCTTCCTCTTTTAACTCCTCCTGTAAGGAAAACAAATATTAATCCCAAATTCAGAATTTTCATCTTTGAGAAAAAAACCTTGTCAATAACCAATATTTGTAAGTAGTTAAAGTTGGACCCCCTGAGCTCTTTTCATTTAATTTAATGAAAAGTAAAATACATTCTTCAACTCGGGGCATCTGGAACTCTTTGAAAACTACTTATATTTTGGACTATTTTGTGCCTCTAATGCGCAAAAAGATTGGCCTAAAATTTTTTGTCAGGTAGTAACTTATCGTTTAAGGGATTCTTTTTTGCCATCACCCATCAAACAGTACAACAATTCCTTTTCCAGATAGGGTGGGGGTCGGGTGGGATATGAGCTTTTCGTGTGTTGTGTTAATTTTAATTGCGTACTTTCGATGCATTTTTACTTGTTGTATCCACCGTGGTTGTTGTAATTTTATAACTGTATTTTTTTGTTTTTGTTTTGTTTTTATGACTGGGAAGAAAATTTTCCTGTTCTCATGATGAATAAATAAAATAAATGAATGAATGAATGAATGAAATAATCAGAAATTTGGAAAGTAATTATTGCATAACTTAAACTTCTATGGATTATTTTTGCCCAATGTCTCATTCAAAACTGAACAATTTTTGTATTGCTGCTGAAAAAATAGCAAATTAATAGCAAAATTATATTTTTTGTTGAGGGAGGGGGGAAGGGGAGGGAGCGTTGAACAAAAAATAGCATGTGAAACTTAACTTTCAGCAACACGTTTATTTTTGTCATTACCTTTGATTTCTTGCCTTTCCTCTTGCCAGTGTCAAACAGTCCTTCTTTCCTTGCCTGGTCCAAGGCCTGCAAAATTGGACAAGAAATTCTACGGTTCCAGTTCAGACACAAAAACGTCATCAAAAATTCAAATCATTAATTGGGAGAGTCCTTACCCGTATTCTGTATTTTGGAGAAGAGGCTAGGTAGTCAATGGCCGATTTGTAGCGTGACCACCAACTGAAGTACTGTTGACAAAGAATAAAAGACAAACATAATGATTTTTGTAGGGTACAAGGCAAGCTCTCATCCCATATTATTGATGTAGGTTGAAATGTTGCTATACAGGGTGAGTAAAAAAAAAAAAACAACCCAATGTCGGGACTATTGTTTGAGTGAAATTCTGCATGTAGCACTTTCAAAATCTAGAATATGAAAGCCCAATTCATAAGCTTTCTTTTAGTACCAGAATCATTCAAATCCCTTATGTACTTCTCAAGTTATGCAATATTTAAACACAGCCGCCTTTTTAAGTTCTGTCCATGGATCACAAAAAAAGGTAAGTGTTCTTTCAGCAAAACGACAATTCACAGACATCCGTATGTGATTTGTTTTTCATTTTGCTGAAAGAACACTTACCATTTGTGATCTGTGGACAGAACTTTAAAACGGTGGATGTGTTTACGATTCTGTAACTTGAAAATTACATGAGTGATTTGAATGATTCTTGTACTAAGAGAAAGCTTATGAATTTGGCTTTCATATCCTAGATTTTGCAAGTGCTACATGCAGAACTTCACTAAAACAATGGTCCCGACATTTTGGTTTCGTTTTTTTTTTAAACTCACCCTGCAGTTAAAAAAAACAAGGCTTTGCCTTGCCTGCTTCATAGGGGATGCCACTTCGTCGTTTGTCACCCGCATTGTATGCATGCCACCCGCTTCGAGAACAAGTAATAGTGACCATCAACAACTTGTCAACAAACATACAAGTGTGTATTTGCCTGCAATTGGGGACCCCCTATTGTCCCTCTTTTATTTGTACTTTTTAGGAAGACCTCCCATATGTTTTGTACACGAATCTAAAATTGGGGACCTCTCGGGAATTGGGGACCCAATTGTCCTCTATTGATCAACATCCCCTATACTGAATGCAGAAACAAACCCACTTTGCACTAGTAAAGGTGATATTCCAACAGTTTGCAGCTAAAAAAGTGACAATTGTACAGTGCCCCAATGGCTCACAAATATGACTGACTACCTGTATAGCAGAAATGACTGAGATTGTCACAGCAATGACAATGCGTACGTCCACCTTAGGAGCAACTCGCCGCCGGTAATATCGGTAGTAATGGCTGTAGTATTCCTCTGTTGAGATAAAGAAATAATGAAAAATGAAAAAAAACCCAAACAAACAATTCTGACAAAGAAACGTTCCTGTTGAAAATAGAATTATTTCAGTCTTGTACGCAATCAAATGAAAAACTTTGGTAATACACGTTCAGCACATAACCAAATCACTAACTCGGATCATCCAGCACATAATCCAAGGTCCAAACTCGGTATCTAGTATTTATAACTTAATCACTAACTTGGGTTATACAGACTATTCAGCATAAACGCTGAATAGTTGGTTATCCATATAACCCGTAACTAACCTGGGTTAGCCAACAAATAACCTGTGTCATCCAGCATATTACAAAATCATTAACTTGGGTTACACAACATATTCAATACAAATACTGAATACTCGGTTTAATATCCAGCACATAATACTTAACTTGGGTTAGTCATCATAATCAAATGGGTTATTCAGCATAATTATAACCAAATCACTAAATTGGTTTCTACAGCATATTCAGCATAAATGCTCAATACTTGGTTATCCAGGATATACATGTATCTAATGTTTAACCTCGGCTAGCCAGCACAATCAAATGACTAACTTGGGTTACAAAATGACAAGTCTTGTTTATCCAGCACACAACCAAATGAAATAACCTGGGTTATCCAACACAATCAAATGCTCACCTTGGTTTACCTAGCACATTATCAAACGATTATACCCAGGTTAATCAAATGACCAACCTGGTTATCCAGCACATAACCAATTGACTAACCTGGGTTATCGAGCATGTAATCATAGTCCCGCCGTTCGTCCTCATCTTTGAGTATTTCATAGGCATTGGCAATCTCCTGAAACTTTTCAGAGCCATCTTCCCCCTTTTGAAAAAAAAAACATAAAAAAAAAATGTCTGTGATTATTTGAAACCCATCATACATGTACACACAGTTGTGAATTTCTATACACCCAAGGGCAATGCTTTGTGTTTTCCTTTGTCCTGCAATATAACACTCTCCCATAGACTAATTACATAAAGTTACGATTGAGGACCGTTTTCAACAAATGACCCAATGCTGGAGGACTGAAAGGATCTTTTGTTCTCCCTTTGTGTGTCTATCCTCGGTAGTAAAGCCATACAAGTGCACAGGCACATGGGTAATTTTTAAATTTTATAAACTAAGGGGCCATTCCGAATATTCAATGTCTAAAAAGTCCAATTTTTTTTTTGAAAGTGTTTTGACCCATCCAACCACCTCAATTTACAATTAACAAACTTTTCTAATGGCCTAATATGGTATAGGTATGATGTCACACTCGGGTCAAAGCAGGGAGTAATTGCAGAATACCCCGCCACTCGGAAATACACCCCTAAATTCTCTGGCTACGAGGTTGGAATCACTGGAAAAGAAACAATTCAAGTCCATGCCAGCTACGCGGATACTGAGTGGGGGTCCATTATTTGAGAACGAAGCAACACAAAAGGAATGGGAGTTGCTGAAAAAAATTCTAAGTCCAAACCAACCGCCCTGTTGGCGGCTACGCGGTATCCCAGAGAGGTTTTATGTTAATTATTCATCCAATTAAGGAGTAATTAAGAAATTTGAAAAGGACTTATACTGATCTTGGCATACAACTGGGGGCAAAAAGGCCTTATATTAAAACTCATAAGCCTTTTTTCCTTTAAACAGGCAGTCATTACAGTTTGAAATAACTGATAATGTTGGGAAATGCAAAAAGGGCTTAAGAGCTTGTAGGACCTTTTTGCATGCACCCATTTGTCCTTTTGTCATTTCTTTCAGTGTAATATTGGGAAGCACCAAAAGGTCTTATTTTTTTTAATTAGCTGTAATTAAATAATTAAGTTACAAAAAATGGCAAGTAATACTTAACTGATAAGTTAAAGAACCCCCTTTAACAATATGCATAATTCAAACTATTTAAATAACATTTTGCAATTTTCAAAGCAGTGTGAATCTTCAAACTCAATTATCTTGAAATACTGGAAAATGCTGAATAGGGCTTATTAAGTCCTTTCTGCTTTGACCCGACGACGGTATACAGTAGTTAATACTGTATACCTATTGGTTCATTGCCAACACCTGTTACAGTACACGCCTGTGTTTTATTTTCCGTTGACCTTCAATCCTGCTAATATAGAAACCGGGCTATGAAAACAATGGAAAATGGTAACAGATGCTAGAAATCAATATTACTTAAACCAGGGTGTTGTACATCTGTGGGATTAATGAAGGAAAACGACTGTACATGTTCAGTTAAATTGTTACTGTACAGTAATGTACACCAAATGTATGTATGCCTGCAAATTTTTACTGTCATACATGTTCAAATTATGTGACCGGCTCCACAAAAAGGGGTATTATGTCGCAAAAAGTGAAATTGAGTTATATATACAAGGTTGGAAAGCCCACAATGTAAGCTATCATTGGGTTTATAATAAAGCTCCATAGCCCCTCCCGTTCTGGAGATATGATGTATTTGCATATTAATTACTCCCTTGGAGTTCAAATTACACAACTGATAAAACAGGCGATGAAATAGCTGGCTTTGTTATAGAACAATCGAATGATGCACACAAAATGGTTGGGTTTTTTTCCAGTTTGTTCATCAAAATCAACATTTCTGTGAATGAAACCTGAAACTGTAGGTATCAAAGATGTCATTCAAGACAAAAAATGAAAATCAAATTTTGATGAAATGTTCACCCGCTGAATGTTGAGCCGGCCATTACACAATAATGCTCAGCGCAACTTAATACCCTTGTTTGTGGAGCCGGTCACATATAATGTATGTATGTTTGTGTGTACCATTTCAGTGAAAGTTTTGTTTGAGTTCTTTTCATAAAGAACTATCTGGGTCATTCTTTAATTTTAGGGTTCAATTATTGTCCCTGTTGACAACTGTCGTCCCTGTTACCGCAGACCTTAATTGACCAGATTTTTGTTTGTTGGTAGGTTGTGTGCTTTGAATTTACACACCACCTCCTGTTATTATGAACACATATTTTTTAAAATAATAATAATAATAATATAAGCGAAAAATACACCATAAGGGAGACATTCTCATAGACTTTATGCACAAATAATCCGACTTTCCTGACCCCTAAGGCCCCCCAAAAAATAAGTCGGTCTCTGGTCAGCGCGTGCGTCGATTTTAATCATGTGCGTCAATCTTTTTTTTCCAAAATGATCCGTGGTAGCTCCAACAGCGCCCTCTATTGCCGCACCTCCTCAATTTTTTTTTTACCAAAGACCACCAAGGAATGGGAAATTGCAACAAGGCAAATTATGGAGGACACCAATGTACATGAGGACACCAAAAAAGCAAAATAGTACCCCACCTTGTCTGTACAATCCAAGCTTGAAGAAAAAAAAAAGCCACGTCCCCGCGTCAATTCCGGAACTTTGGTCTGACCAGAGACCGAATTTTTTTTTTTTGGGGGGGGCCTAACCCCCATTTCCCTTATCCTACCCCCACGAATTTCAGTATGTCTACCAACTGGACCATGAGCAATTGATCTAGCCTATTTGCAACACTAAAATTTTCCATCTAAATAGGAGCTGAGGCATCTGATTCCACATGTCTCCCAAAGTTAAACCTCCCACGCTAAAGTGTCTCCCAAACGGTACAATTTGCCAAAGTAATAATGATATAAATTATACCAGCAAAATGTGGACACTAAATTTAATCAAGTACATGTATCTTTTCTGAGACGGCGTCTCCTATCAAACATACCTTGTATTTGTCCGGATGAAACCTCCTTGCCAGAGTACGGTAGGCCTTGCCTATTTCACCCTGTTTTTACCAGCCAAAAAATAAATATTTTTTTTTTTAAATCAATACAAAATTTAACACATGAATGATATCGATAAAGATATTAAATTGAGTAGGATTTGAGCATGTCACCTGCAGAACACCACACATATTGTGCCAGCATTCCACTTACACATTACTATCCACACCTGCCTGTGTTGGCATCTCCTAATATAAAAAAAATATGCTCCAAATATGCGCCTATCAAATATCAATTGTTACGCTCGTACCCCCCGCCCTGCAAACAGGACGCTGGGATACTCTGATGAATTCACGCTCTGATTGGTTGGATTTTGCGTCACAAGTGACCTGCGCGTCATCGAGGTCATGCCTCTGCAAGGTTTAAAACGGCCGTTAAGACTGATTCATTACTCTTGTATTCCAGTTTAGAGATGTTTTTTCTCGTTGAAAAGCGTAATAATGTAGGAAATTCTGTAAAACTTATCTGTATTGTAAATTTACAATTTCTGTCACTCGCTCAGGCTCCGTTTCGAATCACGAACGGTCGGATTGCATTATGCGACACTCAAAATTTTGTCCACATGGTCTGCAATGAAACAGAAATCACATTCGGTATGGAATGTGCGCATTTCTATGGGAAGTTTTCGGATAGCATTTGCGCACATTGTCTAACTGCGGTCTTGAACAGCTGCAGCCAGATGCTTTATACATAGGTCATAGGCCATTTCCTACACAAGATTCTGTGAAGCTCATCAGAGTATCTCAGCGTCCTATTTGCAGGGCAGGCGGGGGTAAGAGCGAAATCAATTGTTTGCATAACAAAAATGTGTGATCATGGCGACACTAGTAAAGGGTACTAGGCTTTTGTTTTTAGGACAATGGAAAGATTGCACACAAGAAATTCAAGATATACTTAGGGACTTAATTTTTTTTTAACCAACCTTTGATGCGTCTCTTGTAACACCAAGAACTGTAATATGAGAAACAGAAAAGAGAAAAAAATGGAATTGGACACTACACCAGAAGTAGGCTAGGCCTAAAAGTAAAATAGTAAAAACACTTTGCTGTCTGAAACTTTTTGTTTTGGAAAAATGTTACTTCCTTCTTCAGAACACGTCGATCTCTTAAATTTACATTATCCAGTAAAAAATAGGCCAGCACTTTCTGACATGTCTGATTAGCCTTTAAAGAGGGTGAGCAGTGAGTATGCTTCTAAAGCAAAAAAAAACCCTACAAACTAAGCCTAAATGTGAAAATCAAAATTTGGCAAAGTGCGACACGTTTTTGTACATGTGGATGTGTGGCCTATGTTTACGGAGGTAGTCCAGTATATAGGCCACATTTATGGGGCTAATGTCCATAGTGTGTCTGGTAAAGGGAAATCCCTGTACTAAAATGGACGTTCGACGTGTTCACTTGAGTTTTACACTGTTTACTCCATTTGGCTTCGACAAAACAACCTGAAATCAAACTTACCGTCATAGCAATTCTCCTTGCCGCAATAAAGTCCTTCGATGAACGCTGACGAGGGCGTAGCCAGGCAAATTAACAGAGGAAATATCACCACAATTGTACGGAACACGGCCATATTGAGTGGGTAAACGACATACACTGTACGTCAGTACGTACAAAACGTGCCGTACGTACATGTATGTCACTGTAGAGATCATCAGTGGTGGTACGGTACATGTACGTACGTACGTACGTCGTAATGCGCGCATCCTCGCATAGTGTGCCATCTATAGTTTTGCACACGGCGGGCCTATATTAATGATTGTTCGACTGCAGACTATTATAAGGCCATATCCACACTTCCCAAAATTATTTACAATACTCATAACTGTCTCCAAGTTGTTCAAGCCGACACTCATCAAATTAAAGCTTATTTCATCTTCTTTCCTTTTCTGTTCAATAACTTTTGGGAGAAACGTCCGTCCGGAGATGATCATCCGGCGGCGGCGGAACGCTTTTCAAATTGGGGGCATCACGGGGCACTTGCTCAGAAAAGGCACCTTCTGCGTGTCCGTCGGTGTGACAGAACCTGGAGAAAATTATTATTTTCATTCATATTGCAAGGAACACATGTTACCCAGAACACAACTGACAATATGGATATACACTGTTAACAATGTTGGGGGGGGGGGTAGGACACCACATTACACTAGGGGCGCTCTTCAGGGTGTAAGGGCCCAGGTATACTCGCGCTTACATCAAAAAGGCACATTTCAAAAAAAAACTTTTTGTACTTTTATCCACTTTTAAGTAATATTGAATACTTTTTAGGTGTTGGCATGTTCGAAAAATACTAAACCGCATTCTGAAAACCGCATTTTTTTCTCAACACAAAAAAGTGGGGGGGGGGATAATTCAATAATTCAATAGCCCATCCCCCAATATCTCATACCCCCCCCCACCACCACCACTCCCCCCCCCCCACCACCACCACCACTCCCCCCCACCACCACCACCCCCACCCTCAGGATTTGGGGCCGTATCATTAGCCGACCTGTCATAGGTCCTACGCCTCATAAGCCAATTTCGGACTTCATGATGAGGCGTCGGACTTCAAGGAGGCATACAATTTATTTATTCCGCCTCATAAGTCCGACTCCCATGGGCGTCGCGAGGGGGGGGGGGCAAGGGGGAGCACTTGCCCCCCCCCCCGGAAAAGCAAAAAAAAAAAAAAAAAAAAAAAAAAGGAAGAAAAAAAAAAGGAAAAAAAAAGAAAAGAAAAAGAGCGCGAAGACAAAGTGGTGTAAATTTAATGAGTTGGGGGGGGGGGGATGTCCCTGCCCCCCTCTAAAACTGATAAATCGAGAATGTGTTGAGAAATACAAGCATTTTTTGGCCAAAAAATTTTTTGCCCCCCTCTAAAAAAAATCCTGGCGACGCCCATGCCGACGCCTCATAAGTCCGACGTCGGAAAAACGAGCCCTTTAATTTGTCGCACCAACTGAACGAGGCGTCGGAGCTATGAGGCGTCAGACCTATGAGCTTCTGAGGCGTCTGACCTATGAGGCGTCGGACTTATGGGCCTTTATTTGGTAAGGGGATGCGATTTTGTCGGGCTTGGCGTCGGACCTGCATGAGGCGTCGGACTTATGAGCGGACCCCAGGATTTTGGGTCCCTATGCCCTGGTGGTTGTTACTTGTAAAGGGCACTGCGCGTCATTGGTAGACCGTTCCTTGTTTCTATTGGATACACCTGGCAGCCGCGATTTTCCCCCGTATGTGCAAGTGGGCGAGGCGAAATATATGAATTATTCATGACATGTGACCAATGCTCACTGCAGTGTAACTTTACAGCGCTTGAAAACTTGAGAGTGCATCTACATTGAAAGCCATCAACGCGGAGACTCGTACAACATTCTTACCATGAGTCGACTTCCCGTGCGCGAAACACGTTGTTTTTGGACACTTGGAGCCTGGCAAGTCGACCAAAAATCCGGCCTCATGTACGTACGGTGGCCACTGCAACATTTCACGGCACGCGCACGCTCGTCGTGTTGTGGTGTCGTCATCACCAACACTGAAATACTGACTTGAACTGTGCTGTAGGCCTACAGAACTTGATTTTAAAACACTGAACCCAACTTCGCAACTGCATGAACTGAATGCATGACATTTTTGTGAACTCATAACTTTGTCGAATGATCTGAATGACGGTTTTGGAAATACTCATGTCAAGCTTTTGGAGTTCGTCGGGGTAAGTCCAACAGACTATATTATGGAACTGTCGAGGTGAGTTAAAGTTTTTGTTCTAGCCGGCCACACAGAACTAAAAGAGGCAAAATTAAAGCTTATTGCGTCTTAATTGAGCAGTGGTACCTAAACATGTTTCCTTCATTTGCAACCTCTATTTGCCATAAAGTCAAACCAGAAAATCCCCCTCGTCGGTCCTTAAATTGTGCATAACGTACTGTAAGCATGGTGTAGCATATTGCCAACAAAACGTGTCGACCATGGGCGCTTTTTGTACACGAGGTTGTGTTTTGCATGATTGAATATTGTACAATAAAAATCTGTTATTTCCCCTTCCAAATTACACCTTTTAGTATGCTTAAAATGTTAGCAAGAAAATGCACAATGCTTGTGTACATGTTGCCATCAAAATGTCGTCCATTTTGCTTCTCCTACACGTATTTTGCATTGCTGGACATTGTACGTTCAAATTCCATTCCTGAAATGAAGGCGAAAGCCCTGCTTTTGATTTGGACTAATTTGCATGTGAATACAGTCTACGTGCCAACTTGTATGTCAAAAAGTATATACCGTGCCGCTTCGATATGCTTTGGTGCATTGCGCATTTCACGCATGGTTCCAAAAGCCACAACGAGAGAGTCGCACGTACACGTAGACCGCACGTGCATGGCCGGCGCACTTGGGCGTGGTCATAGACTCTGTGATTCTTATTGGTCGAAAAGTTGAAAGGCGCGCGCGCGTGGTATTCGGCCAGGTGCACTGTTCTTGCTAAACTTTCAAAGACATTCCAACGAGTGGCTTTTAGGGGTTTACTCAAAAGTTGGAGTAAACAGGTTTAGGTTTTGGTTAAGAATGGAGGGTTCCTTGGAATTTAGTTTGCCTTTGCTGTTAAAATTGTATTAAAATGACTGGTTTAAAGACTTAGTTATGCTTCGAGCTTTGGTTAAATTATTGAAAGATGAAATAATATTGTTAAAAACCTGAACACCATGGAATTGAGGAGCTAACAACGGAGCCAACGGATCTTTATAGCATAATTTATTTCACGCTATAGCATATCATTTAGATTAATGTAGAGCGGCATTCCAATGGGCCAAAATAAATTGTATGGACATTGTTTCCACGGATTTCAAAGCCTTCTTGTTTTTTTCAAATTGCACAAAAAATAAACTTTACACCATTAATTTCAGAGAAATATCATAATGCTACTGCTGCTAAGTTCAAGACGACAACGCAAAACAAAAATTTATTGAGAGCTGCGTTTTTGGGGGGATTATTAAAATGAATCATTGCATAAATTTAAAGACAGCCGACGGAATTTGTATTAAAGCTCATAAGAATAATTGGAGAATACCTGCTATTAATTGAAGATAACGATATCCAGCAATAATTCAATGTTTTTAATACACTAATCCAAAGATAACGATTGTATTAAATGAATGATTGCGACTTTTTTCAGGTTAAGGTGTAGGATTCAGGAGGGGTGGGTTAAGGTTCAAGCACACAGTGCGCACAGGAAGCCGATCACGCCAGCAGCAGTCTACATACTATTTAAAATGTATTCATCATTGCCTGGCATAGCCATGGTGTACAAATTAAATTATTCAACTATTTTGGAAACTACAATTTTCTAAAAATAAAATTTCCCAGTCAGGCAAAAGGATTAAAAAATATCGGCTACTAAGTAATCGTAGCTTAAAACCGAAACGATAATTTCAATACAAGTTACTCCATTAAAAATAATCTGTATCGAGTCAGTGCATTCTATATCGTTAAAAATTAAAAAATAGCGGCTAATATAATAGTAATCTTAGCTTAATTAAAACCGAAACGATAATTCCAATACAAGTTAGTCAATTAAAAATTTGTATCGAGTTAGTGCATTCTATATCGTTAAAAATTACAAAATATTGGCTAATGAGTAATCTAAGCTTAATACCGAAACAATAATTACATGCAAGTTAGTTACTAAAAAATCTGTATCGAGTCAGTGCATTCTATAGCTTTAAAAATTACAATTTAAATCCGGCTTTTCTATGAAATTTGGTTTTCAAATTAGTAGGCATAGATACCAGAGCTTTATAAGTGCACATGGGTTGATGAGGACATTTTGTATAACACATGTGAACATCTTGGGAGTAGGTTGTCGGTAATATCTTATGGGTATAATTATAATAATCGTCTTCCCGAGATAATGTTTAATCACGGGTTGATGATCTTTTAGGTGAGATATCGTCTTTACGGGATGAACATATTTCTCGGGTTGATGATATCTTGTAGGTGGGATATCATCTTTCCGGGATGAAAATATTTCTCGGGTTGATGATATCTTGTAGGTGGGATATCATCTTTCCGGGATGAAAATATTTCTCGGGTTGATGATATTTTGTAGGTGAGATATCGTTTTCCCGATATAAAAATATTTCTCGGGTTGATGATATCTTGTAGGTTAGATATCGTCTTTCCGAGATAAAAAATATTTCTCGGGTTGATGATATCTTGTAGTTGGGATATCATCTTTCCGGGATGAAAATATTTCTCGGGTTGATGATATCTTGTAGGTGAGATATCGTCTTCCCGGGATGAAAATATTTCTCGGGTTGATGATATCTTGTAGGACTGAGATATCGTCTTCCCGAGATGAAAATATTTCTTGGGTTGGTGATATCTTTTAGGTGGGATATCATCTTTCCGGGATGAAAATATTTCTCGGGTTGATGATATCTTGTAGGTTAGATATCGTCATCCCGAGATAATGTTTTATCACGGGTTGGTGATATCTTGTAGGTTAGATATCGTCATCCCGAGAAATAAAATATTTCTCGGGTTGGCTATATCTTTTAGGGTGAGATGTTACCTTCCCGAAAAAGTAAAACACTTCTCGGGTTGATGATATCTTGAAGATGTATCGTCTTCTCGAGATAAGTATTCACGGGTTGACGATATATTAATATTTATA